CCACCAGAGTTTCCTCTGGCCTCGCCCTGCTCAGGCATAGTTCACCATCTTTCGGGTCCCAACGGGCATGCTCACACTCAAACCTCTCACAGCAGCTCGTGGTTGGCAGACGGTGCACCCGCAGAGGGTTCCCGCCACTCAGGTTTCTTCCGCCTCGTGGGCTAATCACCCACCGGCTCGCATGCACGTTGAACTCCTCGGTCCRTGTTTCAAGACGGGCAGGATATAGGAATTTCACCAGCATCCTGAACACGCAGGAACCTGAACGGGCCCGCCGAAAGAGGCGCGTGCTCAAGGTCCTCAACTGCAGTGACGGCCACCCGAGGGGGGTTTCAATCGCTCCCCACCGCAAATCCGGTCACAGCAGCTCATGCTGGCAGGCACCCCACGTCCAACAAGGAGGGCGACAACACAGTCGTCGTCCACCCATGCCCAGACGGAAGCGCACGACTTCCCCTCCATCYGCTTCTCGCTCGGCAATTTCAAGCACTCTTTAACTCTCTTTTCAAAGTTMTTTTCATCCTTCCCTCGCGGTACTTCTTCGCTATCGGTCCCTCGCACATATTTAGCYTTGGATGGGACTTACCACCCAATTGGGGCTGCAATCCCAAGCAACCTGACTCTTGAACAACACCTCGTTGTGCAGCAGGGTCCGGCGGTCGACGGGGCTGTCACCCTCTTCGGCGTCCCCTTCCAGGGAACCTGCACATGGCCCGCTGCAGAGGTTGCCTCTCAAGACTACAATTCAAGGAGCAACAGAGCCCCCAGATTTTCAGTCTGGGCTATTCCCGGTTCGCTCGCGGCTACCAAGGGAATCCTCGTTGGTTTCTCTTCCTCCGCTTAGTTATATGCTTAAATTGGGCGGGTGCTCCCGCCCGACCTGAGATCAAAAGGCAAGGCCCGACGTACCTCCACAGCTCGAGGCCGACACCCACAACCTCAAGCCCACCTCCAGCCGATGGGAGCGAACGGAAGGCGGCAACCACACAAACCGGAGGGATGACCTTACGTGTCGTTTTCATGGAAACGAAGACCACCACCCACAAACGGGTGCCGGAGGGCAACAACAGGGCGGAGCGAAAYGCACCACTCTGGGCTGCGGCCCCCACAGGCCCGCTCGGAATGCTCTCCAATTCCCTTCCACTTTAGGCTATCGACGCTCTCCGAATGGGAAGCGAGGGAAGCCACGACCACGGACCCCATCACTCTCCAAAACGGAAGGTGCTGAGGTCGTGAGGAATCCAATGATGCTTAGACGGGCGTGCCCTCGGTAGAAGCCTTGGGCGCCACGTGYGTTCAAGGTATCGATGGCTCACGGATTTCCGCAATTCACATTTAGTATCGCATTTCGCGGCGCTCTTCATCGTTGCGAGGGCCAAGATATTCGTTTGCCGAGAGTTCTACAATATGGTGCCGTTCCGACAGGACCGACCCCTCAACCAGAACAGAAGGGGGCCGTCAACGCGGACAACGACAAATCAGAGCAGGTACATCAATAAGAAGTTCCGAAGTCGTCGCCACCGCCCGCTGCCACGGGCCTGTCCGACCCCCCGTTGGGGGGGCCAGACAGGGCACCGGGGAGCATCGGGGCAACGAGGGTGCGAGCACTGTCTCCTCCTCCCCCTGCCCTACACCGCCCCGTTCACGACCAAAACCCTACCCCAACGGCCGTCCACCCCGAGATTCAGACCACCTTGATTGTGTCGAGGACGACGATCTGCCCGGAAAGGAGAACCCCGTTGGGAAGGAAGCCAGGACAAAACGGGGAGGGGCCGAGGACCCCGCAACACACCCTGCCCCTAGCCTCTACCACGACCCTCGATCCCCAAACACGCTACAAGCTCCGCACGAAGCCGAGGTTGAGGTCGGGATGGAAAGGAGGTCTGGACAAAGCTGAGACGGGAAGGAGCAGGGGCACGCAGGTCGAGGACAGCCACCACCACCCGACATCCCGCCCCTGACCCTCCCCCAGGGCGGTCCGTGCCCGGACCAACCGCCATCCCGACCAGAAGTCGAGAGTGGGGTTGGGCCGAGGTAACAACCTGCGGAGGCGAGACGGGATGAAGGGGGAGCAACGCCACAAGGCCCCGGACCCTGCCCACTCCCCCCACCCTCGACCTACACCACGCCCCCCTCTACGCCGGGTCAGCCGCCAGCTGGGCACTAAGCCCAAGATGGTGCTGAAACGGAGGAGAAAAGCGGATGCAGGGAGGATGGGGGCAAAGGGCGGCGGAAGGGCGAGCAAGCCAGCGTCCCACACCCCGAAGATCGGCCATTCACGTGTCAATGATCCTTCCGCAGGTTCACCTACGGAAACCTTGTTATGACTTCTCCTTCCTATAAATGATAAGGTTCAATGAACTTCTCACAGCACCCCCAGCGGCAAACCGCCGAGATCACCGCAATCCAGACACTTCACCGGACCATTCAATCGGTAGGAGCGACGGGCGGTATGTACAAAGGGCACGGACGTAATCAGCGCGAGCTGATGACTCGCGCTTACTAGGCATTCCTCGTTCAAGATCGATAATTA